GTTTATGGTCTCTTTATATATATATATATATATATATATATATATATATATATATATATATATATATTTATTATTATTTTTTTCTTCAGTTTTTCAGTCTATCACACACACACACACAAACCATATTGATCCCAAGTGTGTATGTATTGTTACGTTCCGTGTTTATTTATACAATATTGTTGGTACGTACTGCTACGTACTGCTGTGTGCTCTTTCTGTCTCTCCATGTGTTACTGCTGCTCAACCAGCTGCGGAGGAGAGGAAGGTGATCACTCGCACCTGCCACTCGTTACTGTGCAGAGGCTGCAAGCTCAAAAGCTGTTCAACATGCTTACCACACTGAAGATTGACTTTCAGAGTGTTGGTCTTGTAGTTTTGTCAGAGATTTATACTGTGTAAATTTTACTCTGGTTATGGCCTATTGTAGCCTTCTGAAAGGTAATTAGCATTGTTGTTGCGCTACGTGTGTCTCTCTGTGTTGGAAGCCGTAGGGTGGTGGGTGCCATTTTGTTCGTGAATCTTTTTCTAGTGCAAACTAGAAAAAGTGTTTTCGCTATACCTCGAAAGTGCTGGCGATATGCTTCAGGCACCAGTTCATATGCACGTAGCACCGCTGCTTTCACAACATCATAATCCAAGGACTGCCATATTGGTTTGGTCTATATATGTTTTAGTTCAGTCATAATAATCTGTCTGCTTCCACCATTGATTCAGTGTTAAGCATTCTCATATCGGAAGTTGTGAACCTTTTTTTAATTTTAATTTTTTTTTTCCCACTGGGCCCCGCCAAAACATTTCGGGGTTGAAGTCACATTTATTTTTATAGTGCTCTATACAATACAGATTGTTTCAAATCAGCTTCACGTTAGTAAACAGGAAAATAAGTGTTAAGATATTGTAAAATTCATCAGTTACAAAACCGATTCAGTTTTAACTCCACAGAAGATGATAATAGTGTCAATTATCAGCTCAAATTATTTCAATGTTGACTCAATTATGAAATTAGTTCAATTCAGCTCTGCAGAAGAAAATTGTGTCTTTTTAAAACAACTTCAAGTGACAAATGTGTCATAGGTCAATGTGGATTCAGTTCAATAACAAAGTTAGTGTCATTTTCCATCTCAATTCAGTTCAAATCATTTTCTCCTCTGATGTGTCAGTGCAGTTAAATCGATGATTTATTGAATATTACTTGTCTTTTTAACCCAATTAATCACCTAGGACCTATATATATATATATATATATGATCCTATATTGTTATATTAGGTTGAGCTGGCCCTGTGTATGCTAATGCATTTTTTTTTCTTTCAAGTTAGAAAGAATAGCTTTTCTTTTTTTTCTCTTTTTTTTTAGCTTCAAAGCAGCTGTGTGATTGTGCATAATCTCATAAAGAATGATTAAGAAAGCATTGGGTTTTACTAAATTACAAAGGGAGAAAATGAAGCCAACACCTTCATTAGGGTGTTGAATGGGTTATCTAATCTAAATGATTTACGTTTTAGACCGCACAGTTTATGATTTATGCTCCGTGTTTCTGATGTATTGAATCTGTGTTGAATGTATTCCCTAGGAAGGACCTCTTGAGCGGATCTCTGAAATTCCGTCTGTGTGTCTAGTGTTATGATGTACTATTTAAAACTGAGAGGAGGAACAGGGCTGTATATTCAAAGATGGCATGTGGGGTGTGTCATTGTCAGAAACAATCACTGCTTCCCTCCAGCTGAAAGGGTGATTGATGGAGAGCAAAAATAGGTGTGAAAGAGTAATAATGTTGCTGGAAGTAAAAGAGGAATATGGACAGAAAGGTTGGTGCTGCATGGTTGACTGGCCCTTACAAAGGGAAAAAGCCATCATAAAAACATCTGTCTACCATCGACCTAAAAGCCACAACACAGCAATTTCCTCTGCATTTTAAAAGCTGGATAATTACCTTTAATTCTTAATGAAGACAAGCTTTGCTTTCCTAAGTTTTGTATAGTTGACCAGAAAAGCCCTCAGCAGAATCATTGTGCTCTTGCTCGCTGTAAAAGCAGCCTTTAGTCATTGTAGGGTCGACAGAAAACGGACTTGTTGATCTATACCATATTTTGTCAGTACACTTGTTTTAGCAGTGCAGTTGAAGTTGTTTTTAACTAAGAACAGGCAAAACAGGTTTTTTTTTTTTTTTTTTTGCTCTTTCAAAAGATGTAATAAGGCAAAATCAGGTTGTATAAATCCTTTACATAGAGAACATTGGCTATGTAGTTCAGTTCTGAGAATAAATTAAAAGTAAGAAAAGTGCATTGAATGTTGGCACGGTGAGGAAAAATATGAAATTCTAGTTACCTTTTATTAGTGTTGTGGCTAGAGAGAGATTGTACAAGACTGGCAGTTTAAATAGGGGTCAAAGGTGAATTTACTTCATGCAGACACAAATGTGGGAAAGCATTGCAAAGACATTCTGCTTTGTATTAAAGTTTTTTTTTTTTTTTTTATCGTATCAGTCTAGAATGATGACACTTATTCTGCACATGCTAAGTAGAGTTTAAAAAATGTGATCATGTCATATAAGGAAAACAGTTTGAGCTATTAAAGGTTTCATAACTATTCCTTCTGCTGTGTAATTAGCTTTATCTTCGGTTGTTGGGTAAAAGCTAACATGACATGATGTAGCAGATGGTTATTTCATTATGGCTCTGAAGGCAACGACAATTATAATTCTAGTGCTAAAAAAAATGTATGACTGAATTCAAAGTTTTTATCTTTTAAAAAAATAATGTTTTCTTCTTGAAGACTGTTCTTGACTTTTTGGCTCATCAGTAAGTTCTAGGAGAAAGGATTGAACTAATTTCAAATAATTATAATGTACTCACACTTTTGTGTGAAAAATGAATTAAATACAATGTAGAATCAATTTAATACAGTGTGCAATCTGTGCTATTACTACTTTGACTTCAAATACTATATTTATGAAATAAATATTAAATGAATGATTTATGTATTTTAGAAGTGTTAACAATTGGTCTTGATTTTTTTTTTTTTTTTTTTTTTTTTTTGTGGGTGCAGTTTTGGGGTTGGGGTTTCAATTTTAATACAAATCTGAATGCAATTATTTAAATATTTGTAAAAATAGTATACTTAAGCAGATTTATGATCGAAATGTAAAAATTGTCAAGTGTATTCAGTAATTAAATGGGAAATCTTTCAGTTTCAGGTTGTATGCACTGGATCACAGGAAGAGGAAGAGAAGGCTGAATGTGTACCGGGATTTCAGGAGAAGGAGTACCAGGTGGACTACAGTGGAGAGTTCCTCAAAGACATTCCTCTGCTGCAAGGTACGGCAATGATGTCATCATCGGTGAATGAGGTGGTGCAGATTTGTTAGTGGAATTAGCTTTTTTTTTTGTCTTTCTCTTGCTGCTCACTTTCTCTCTTTCACACACCTGGCTGTGTACGCCAGCTGGAGAAAGAACAGTTCTCGAGGGCTGCGGGTGAATGTTGATTGTTCATTATTCTCATTACCATGCGCAATACTTTTTCTTTTATTAAAAAAAAGGCTCCAGTGTCCAAACAAAACATCAAAATGATCTGGTGCTCATAAATTATTCTGTTTGATTGTGAGGATGTTTACAAAGCCTTTGTGATTCCAGTCTCTTCCAGTGGCTGCTGCTTGTAACGGCTGCAGCTGTTTAGAACTTTCTGTGTAAAAATTCATGTCAAGATTCTGGCAGATGCCGCCGCCATCCAGACATTCTCTGTCTGCATCATATTTTTCAGAGACAGTTAGGACAGATTATCAAGAAACTTTCAAAAGGGCAACACTCGCAAGACCGGAATGATGACAGCAGAAAAAGAAAAGCAGAAAGTGAGAACTGCTAATAAAGGAGTCGTTTCCTCACAGGTCTCCACATTCACACAACAAAACTCTCCTGAGATCCCTGAGAATCAGCGTGATTAATGAAATTACAGTCTAATTACACATTAAGCATGTACGTCTCCACAGGATACTCGTACACTGCCTTGCATAAAAAAGGCAGCACCATGAGTGTTTTGAGGGCAACACCATATTAATCACTTTTTAAGATAAATCATAAACAATGTGTTGCCTGATGGAGTTGTAACCCACCCACCCCTCAAGCCTAACATGAGAAATGAATAACATAAATGGAAAAAATATAATGCAATGCACTGTGGTGTTCACCTCCGAAATGTCCAGAAGTCCTGTACTGCATGTGAATAGTAATCAGACAGGGGACTAAACATGCTGCAGAGGTCGGCCCTGCAGTGAGAGCAGGCAGACAGTGGCTTCACTGCAGGATGAAATATAAGTGTGAGGTGCTTGTACCAAACTGATCCCCCAGTAAGAAAGTTATTTCCCTTAACCAGGAAATTAACGTTCTTAGAATTGACAAGACAGTTGACCCTGAGTGGTCAGCTAAATATCTACAGCGGATCTAAAATATGAATAGTTAATTATAACTAGTTATGGTTAATTATTCATATTTCCTGTCGTTGAGCTAAATTCGCTACACCCGATTGTGAAAACCTGGCAAGATGTCACGAGAGATATTAGTGGAGGAGTATAGCCAAGCTTGATAGTCATAACCGGTCCACAAAATAGTCTGAATGTGTTGAACTGCTTGAAATTGATGTGCTATGCTTAAACAACTAATCCACTTGTCCGTCTATCCATCCATCCATTGTTTGTTTGTTTGTTTGTTTGTTCTATCTATCGCTCGTTCTTTCTATCTATTGATTGATCATTCAACCAATTGTTCTATCGATCATTAGTTCTATGTATAGACTGATTGTTCTACCGTTTGTCCTATCAATCAGTCATTCTGCCAGTCATTCTATTGATTATTCCATCTACCATTAGATTGTTTTAGGTGTCGACCGTTCTACCAATCATTATATCTATTTATTGAACTATCGTTCAATCTATCAATAGTTCTATCCATCAATCATCGCCTTGTCTTTACATCATCCATTGCTTGATCGTTCATTCTGTCTATTGATTGATCATTCTACCAATTGTTCTATTGATCATTTGTTCTATCAGCTGATTGTGTTCTAACCATTCATCCTATCAATCTTTCTATCTATCACTTGATTAATTATTCTACCTATCAATCTTTTGTTCTGTCTATCATTAGATTTGTTTTGTCTTACCGTTCTACCGATCATTCTATCTATTGGTTGATCTATCGTTCTATTGATTTATCATTCGATCTATCGATCATCCTATCAATCTATCGTTCTATCAATCATTCTATCGTTATCTATACATCCTTCTATTTATTGTTTATGCTTGTAAAGATTTTAAACAATGCACTCCTCAGTGTTGCCATGCTCACTTATTATCAGCATCTTTGGGATGTTGCTTATAAATATCGACAGTTAGGTTGTGTTTTGGGGGCTAATTTTAGGAATGTAGTCATATTTGGCATTATTATCATCTTTTGCTTTGAAAGACCTGGCAACCACAGACCAGGGACCCAGTGGGTAGCAATTGTGGAGGAAAATGGAATGAAGTGTATAAATCAATAAAAGGCATACCTGTGTTTTATTTTTTCTCTGGTATTTCATCCAAGCTGCTAGGGTCCAAACAGTGGTGACATTACTTAACTGCGTTAACAATTACAGTAGTTGTGCACGTTTATGTGCGATACATGTGGTTGTGACTACCTGACGTTTTCAGAAGTTAATTGTTATGGCATGCGGTTGTCATTACCAAATTCTGTGAATTATATTATGATTTTTATATATATATATTTATATATATATATATATATATATATATATATATATATATATATATATATAAAATTGTCATTTCAGAAGTCCATCACTAAATATTGAACTATGAAAGAAATAGCCATTATTTATTTTAGAAATGAAGAGCATTTTAGAACATTATCATGTTTAAGACCTAATAATTAACATTTATCAATGTAATTTTGAAACTCATTTAAGGTTAAGACTGTAAATTCTAGCCATGAAGTGTCACCTGAAAGAAATCCTGAAAGATTTGTATTTTAACAGAACAGTGGGAATGATTTGATTGGCTAATCAGACTCTGTGGGATCTCATGGAGTCTTGCAATGATTGTCAGTCCTCGTTCAAAAAACCAAAACCAAAACGACTGTTCCTCTTGATTTTCACAATTCCTCGGAAATGCACAGTTATGTCTTCAAGCTTTTCTTCAACTCCTCTGGGATCGGCAGTCATGTCTAGCTGGCACCGCTTCGTGCCCCAGTGGGATTTTAGCATCTCTGCCAAAGTGCCATTCTTTTCCATCTCCTCTTCCCAAATTGACAGTCGTATCAACAGGTTGCACAGCCAAAAGAGGAAGAATGGGCACCGTATTCTGCCAAGACAGTACTGCGGATGCTGCAGTTTACGTGACGATGAGTTTTTTGTGAATGTTTGTGTGTGTGCGACTGGACATGACTTTTGAATTTGCACATAGTCACCGGTTTGGAGCCAGTTTGACTGCTGTGTTCCAAGTTTTTGTGTTTGGGGAGGAGCCATTGATCCATGTAATTAGAACAGTGAGAGTGGCGGCAGTCCTTACAAAAGATTGTTCCATTTTGATTTTAATTTACTTAAGCTACAGAACATGATTACACTGACAAAGAACACCACTCAACACCATTACGCTGACAGACAAAGCAACGGGGTGAAAGCACCGTCATCAGACCAACAATTTAATAAGTACCACTTTTTCCAATAGAAAAATATATATTTTATCACCAATTCAGCAAGCTGGCCAATCTCGCCTGGAGTTTCAATCTTTTTATTCTATTCGATTGGGAAGGGCGCTGAGGCATTCTGTCATCTAGTTACCCAGCGATCCATGCCCATGGAGACAGAGCTCAGTTCCGCTTTACTGAGTCACCCTGTAACCACTGTGCACTTCTATTACCCTGAATATGCTCCTGTCAGCACAGCACAACACACCAGACACACTCACTTATGTGCACAAGTTCACACAAATGTGCAAATAACTTTCCTAGTAAACCAAAACATAAGCAATGGCATTACCATGCTTGTTTGCAAAAGCGTGATCATTCAGTCAGAGAAGTACACAGCTATGCTCTTGCAGGTAGTACAGCTGCTACACAAGAAAAACTGGCCAGGGTGAACTCATTCATATTTATAGATATTTATGTAAAGTGTGTGTGTGTATATAAACACTACTGTTTGGGTAGGTGTTTTATTTATTTATTTATTTTTTTGGGGGGGGCGGGGGGGCTCTTATGATCAACAACAGTAATATTGGTGCTCAAGAAACATTTTTTATTATTATCGGCATTAAAAATTATTGTGTTGCTTAATATTTTTTGAAGTTTAAAAGAACATTTATTTGAAAAAGAAATCTTTATTGTCTTTACCACCACTTTTGATGAATTAAATGCATCCGTGCAAAATTAGTTTATTTATTTATTTTTTTCCCCTCTTAAAAAAATGTGTAAGTATTTTCTCTAAAAGTAATTTATAAAAAAAAACATATATAAAATTTGTGATCGAGCTTGAACCGCATGCCCAGTCTGCCCAATCTGGGCAGTCGTGGCCTAATGGTTAGAGTCGAACTGGTAACCCAAAGGTTGCGGGTTCGAGTCTCAGGTCCAGCCGGAATTGTCGGTGGGGGGAGGGAATAACCAGCGCTCTCTTGCGCCTTCAGTACCTCGACTGAGGTGAGACCCTTGAGCAAGGCACCAAACCCCCTAACTGCTCTCATGTGCCCACTGCCCAATGCAAAACCAACTCGACTAAATCAAAAGAAAAAAAACACTGTAACTGTATATTTTTGTTTTCTCAAGCAAAGCAAATTTTAAAAGTCTACTGAAAACATATCTTACATTTTTGGTCATAAACAACGTATGTTAAAGATATACGATATTGTCAACGTTATTGCCTAAGCGGTAAATAATTTTTTTTTTTTATAAAAACGTGGACTATATAAAATTTTAATAACAAACATCATATTGTTCCCTTTGTTTTGCGTATGCTCGTGTCGCTTACAGTTAAAGTCCTTCTCTGATTTTATTATTGTTTGCAAGGTTGCAACGTTACTTGTCACCCGGGTGGGAGTTTTAACTCTTATTCACTGGGAATAAAATAATTTAGCTGATGCAGAGAGACATATAGACCAGGGGAATCCCCCCCCCCCCCTTCCCCCCCCCCCTTTTTTTTGTTTCA